CCCCCCCCCCCACCACCAATCGCCATTGGAATTATCATTTTCCATGAAACTATTGCAATTTCCCTTACATGCCGCAATACTAAGAAAATTAATGTTGAATTTCATAGTGAGGAAATGACAATTAAGATGGCGCTGCGAGATGTGGACGTAGATTGGGCGAGCAAGCTGATTGGTCGGCAATTGGAGATTAGAAAGTAATTGGTATATGGAGAATTATAATAACGTTCAAGTTCAAATTTGAACGGATCCTCTGTGTACGTCAACAAGCCGTAATGAAACAATTTGTGATGGCAAGTGTTGGTTAAAGAGTGAGAGAAAAAATCGTGTAAACTTCGGAGTTTCGTCAAATTTTTTCATAAAATTCAAGATACTCTTTGAAACGATTCGGTTTACCAAAATCGAATAATATGAAGTCCGCGTAAGTATTGTTTAAGAAAGGGTTGCTTAACCTTCCAATTCCTAGCTCGCTCAAAATTAGACGCTTTCGGCATTAGATAATTTCACTTTTATTTTTTATAATAATTATTGGATATAATTAGAGTAGTAGATAATATTCATTTTCATTGTGAATTAGTTTATCTTTCATTCCAACTGTTTTCAAAATTGATTTTAATTTGCTTAAAGTGGCTCACACTATTTTAACTGTAAAAATACTATTTTATTGCACTTCGTAATATGGAATAATTATTTATTTTTTAACGAAGCAATAATTATGTATCGATTGTAACAACTATAATATACGATATACAATATGCTTTTAGACGCAAGCAAGCACCACCATCGGCTCGTAAGCTACTCAGAGCAAAAAATAATATGTTATCAAAAGATCCAGTACAAGTTTATTGTCGATTACGACCGATGCAATTTGCCAATGACATCTCCTGTATGAAAATTATTCAGGATACAACCATTGCGATAACTCCCCCAGAATCTGCAATGAACTTTCGTAATGGTGCTCAAAAAGAAATTCAAACTACATTTACACACGTATTTGCCGAAAATATATCCCAAAGAGAGATATTTCAAATAGTTTCCTTACCTTTAGTTGAAAATTTAATTCATGGAAGAAACGGTTTATTATTTACTTATGGGGTAACAGGAAGCGGGAAAACTTATACAATGACAGGAGATCCAAACGATAGCGGAATAATGCCAAGGTGTTTGGATGTAATTTTTAATAGTATATCTAATTATCAAGCGAAGAAGTTTGTTTTTAAGCCGGACAAACTCAATGGATTTGATGTACAAAGTGAAACCGATGCAATGATCGATAGGCAAAATGAGCTTCATGCTGGTCTCATGACTCCACGCAATACAAAGACTCCTAGATCGTAAATATTAATATTTAATTTTTTCCTTAAACGTGTACTATTAATTTCAATTTTATATGTAATTAAACCTTTCCTTTTGTATTTTATTTCATTTTAATGTCATAAAATGTTATTCAACCATTAATTATAACAATTTGTATCTTTCATTATCTAGTCGTAAAGTAGATAGCGATAGCGACAGCAATCCAATAATTTGTAGAGAAATAGATGACTCTAGAACTGTTGCTGTCGATCATGATTATGTATATGCTGTTTTTGTTACATATGTGGAAATATACAATAATATTGTTTATGATCTTCTTGAAGAAGAAGAAGTACGAACAAAGTAAAAAAATTTAAGTATTATAATGGTTAAATTTGTCATTGCAATATTATTAAATTTATTAGGACCAATTTTTATAGAATTCTGCAAAGCAAAATTGTTCGAGAAGATGGAAATAAAAATATGTACGTTCACGCGGTTACTGAAGTAGAAGTTAAAAGCTCTAACGAAGCCTTCGAGATATTTCAAAAAGGACAGCGCAGAAGACGCGTAGCTCACACAGCTCTGAATGCAGAATCTAGTAGATCGCATAGCGTTTTTACAATACGTCTTATACAAGTAAATATCATAAATATACTATCTTGGTAATTCAATTAGTCACTAATATACCATCTTGGTATACTATTTATAATGACATTTTAAATAAATGACACTTGATATTATATCTTTATTATATAAATATTTAATTGCCTGTACAATGTTAAATATTTTTAAATTCAATTTACTTATATGTTCCAGGCCCCATTAGATAGCGAAGGTGAGCAAATAATGCAGGACAAAAGGTCTATAATTGTTAGTCAGTTGTCGCTAGTTGATCTAGCGGGTAGTGAGCGAACAAATCGCACTAAAAATACTGGCCAGCGACTTCGAGAAGCCGGCAATATTAATAATTCGTTAATGACGTTGAGATCGTGCCTTGAAATTTTACGAGAAAACCAAATGCAAGGCACGAGCAAAATGGTGCCTTATCGAGATTCCAAACTCACGCATCTCTTTAAGAATTACTTCGATGGTGAGGGACAAGTTCGCATGATCGTATGCGTTAATCCTAGAACTGACGACTACGATGAGACGATTGTAAGAACATTTTAAACTTTTTCATCCATGATAACATCACTTCCAATAAGAAACTTGAATATTTAATATCTCGATTTGTAGATACAAAAATAATATTGATTGGTTAAAAGTTCGATAAATCTTTATTCGTTTTAACATCGATATACCGCTCGATATTATTGTGATAGATTAAATGATCATTTTTAAAATCCCATTTACAATTTGATATTAATTTAAATGACATTTTACATATCAGAACTAATTTCACTTACATCACAAAAATATTTTTTGAAAAAATAGCAAGTAATGAAATTCGCCGAGATGACACAAGAAGTTCAAATAGCGAGATCTACGGTAGCAAAATTAGATTTTGGATTAACTCCTGGTAGACGACAAGCGAATAAGGTAAAAAGGGTTATTACATATGATTTCATATAAATTGAATAAACTTCTTTATTCAATTAACAAAACAAAAAATAGGTACTGAAATGCATTATGCAGATATACTATTTATTATTGTTTTTCTAATACATATTATGGTAGGTAGTTTACGAATAATAAAAAGTATATTTCAAAAAATTCCTTTATTTATAATATTATTGCCATTTCAAATTATTGCAAAAAGGATAAAAAAATGTACGCGATTTCAAAGAAATAGTTTCAGTTATTTCAGATATTAATCGATAATTTTTAGAAACAAATATTTTAAAATATTGTCATGAATAAATTATGAATATTCATTAAAAATTGAACTTATTACAAAATGTCTTACAATCGCATAAACATCTACGATATAATAAATTTCATTTATTTATTAAAAATTAAATATTTGCATTGAATAGATATTTAAAGAAGTACGCAGCAGATTAGAAAAAGAAGGTCACCCAGAAGCTGCTAATTTGGAAATAGATATTGGTTTAGTATACAGGTAATTAAATATATATTATAAATAATATTTCATATAATCACAGTTAAATTTTTATTAATTTTCCATAGTTTTATATTTGTTGATAAATTTTATTTTTTGTAGCCTTGGTGGACCATTTCCTGATTTGGAAATTACGAGCCCCCATAACGATCAAATTATTATAAATTTAATGAATTTTTTGGAACAAAGAATTAATAAAAGAAACTTATTGCGAGCCGATTTAGAGCAAAAACGTAAGTTTTATGAAAATTTTTAACTATTTACATATAAATATATTATACGATACTTAAATAATTAAATCGTTACACATATTTAATGTAAATATTACTTTTAGAGAATGACTTCAGAAAAATGTTGCTAACAGTAGAACAAGAAAATATAAATCTTAAAGTTGAAAACGCAACTCTGAAGGCTTCAAGCACACAGCAAAAGAAAAAAGTAATAAAGTTAAACGAATGATTTACATTGTATTTTCACAATTTTTTTTTTTTTTTACTTATAATATTTTATTCACCATTAGGTTTCTGCGTTAGAAGGTCATTTGTGCAAAACAGAAGCTCAAATTGACAGTTTATTACGTAAATTAAATACTGCCAACGATACAATTAGAAGCCTTCAACAAGAGGTACGCGTATTTTTGTAAAATAAATTATTCAGAAACTTATAAAGAAATAAGTTCAATTTTTAATATTTTTTTAAGCAATTACATAAATATATTTATAGTTGAAAGATCGAGATATGGCACTCAACCAAAGAATCATTGATAAGCAAAGAGTTAAACAAAAGTACACGAGTAAAATACAACACGAAACTGATAAAATGAATCGAGAACTTGAAATTAAATTGAAAGCTCAGCGTGAACATCTTCAGGTATTTTTTATTTTTGTCACGTGAACAAAATCACTTTGTCTATTTTCATTTTTATTATAACTATATAAGAAGGATAAATCCTTCCGACTCTTATTAATGAAAGATATTAACGATACAATCATTTTCTTATATGTAATAGATAGGTGTAATAAAATATTTGAATAACAGACTGTACTTATTTTACTCAACTTTAGAATCAAATGAAAGAAAAAGATGACAAAATACGACTTGTAAAGCAAATACTAGTTAACGAGAATGGTACAATTCCAATATTAAAGGACTCGACCGATGAGGAACATCAGCAACAAATTTCATCGAAAACTCCGGGTAAAACGGAAATACGTTCACGCATAGATAAATTAGGAGTAGCAAATCCACGTTATAGACGCTCACAAAGCGCTGACCGTTGGGTCGATCATAGACCCGAAGTTCTTGTTCCCGTAGGCACTATTCTTCAACCACTTATGAGAAGAAGAAGGAGCGTAACGAAGTTAACGAGTCCCAAAGAAATTATTGATGGTGCATCAAGGTATTGCCTCACAGCGCAGAATGAAGACACCGATGGCGAACTCGAGACAAAACTATACAAGGTAAGAAGAGAAAATTTTCATTCGTTTATGAAACATTGGAATATTTTCGAATAGTAATATTAAAAAGTATATTTGATATGTATAAAGTATAAAAGTGGCAAATATAAAAATAAAATAACCATTAATTAACATATAATCAATAATAAATTTGTTGAATTACAGTATATCACGTGATTATATTTAATGTAGAAATGACGTAAAGTTATGTACAATTTGATTAATAATTAAAATTTATCACTTTTATTTAACAATAATATTTTCAAAGGGCAATCAGCTTACGTTTATTTTACGCAATATAAATAATTATTTTATTCTCCAATAAATATAATTAATAAATAAATGGTTTTACTAAATAATATTTTACTTTGTCAAGTAATTAATTAAAGAATTATAATATATTATATATACATTTTTTTTCTTTATTTATTTATTATAAATATATTAAAATTAAATATTAAATGTGTTCAATAATTCGAATATCCACTATTAAACTATATTTTTTGGTATTAAATGAAGTAATGAAATTAGTTCGCCAATCGTGGTTGAGAATCAAGTTTAAGCAAATACCAAAAACATAAAATTTTCATTTAATTTTTAAGGCTGACATTCTTCCCACGAGAGGCGGAGGTGCCCAGGTGGTTTTTAACGATGTCGAATGCTTGAAGCAGCTATCGCCAACAGGTCAGAGGAAACGCAGTTGTCCGCCTATTGAAAAAGATAATCACGTCAGCGCTGATTATCTAAATCATTGCGCGAATCAAGAGATAGGGACAGTAATATCAAAAAGACCAAGAAAATAATGAGTGACTTTTTTATTTGTAATTGACGCACATTCTTCATATTTATAAATTAGATATGTACTTAATTGGGATGAATGTAATTTTTTTTTTATTTTAACTAAGTCATTTTTATTTTATAAAAATTGCTTAAATAGACTGTAATGTTATTTAAAATTATATGTATGCTGTCAAATGAAAAGTATTAATTATTGATAATATCTAATCCTATATAATTTATAAATTATTCATTATTAATATTCCTATAGAACTTGTGATTCACACGAGCGTTTGTCACTTGAAATATTGAAATATAATTTTTTATACGATAAAAGGTATTGTAAAATCTTTATAATATCAATATGTTATAGAAAATATTGTGAGTCTGGTTTAATAATTAACACAAATACATTATTCTACTAAATTTATTATCATTTATACATCTTAAAGATTTCTAAATAAGTATATTAATTTAAAACATATTCTAATAAGAATAGACAACAACTTCAATTATTCTTACCCAATATCACTAAATATTTTTATCACGTTTAAATTTTATTATGGCTATTTTTATTAAAATTATTATTAAATTTATGTCTTTAATTTGTTAAACTTTATTTTTGTATAAAACAAAATTAATAAATCAATAATAATTTTAAAGGTATTATACAGCAGTTCTTAATAGCATCTTTAAATACTATTAAATTTATCATTCTAATAACTTATTCAATTGTACCATATAATTTCTTTATATTTTATTAATAAATGAACATTTCTAAATGAATTATTTTACAATTAACATTAAAAAGTACCTCGACAATTTGTATTAAATATTATAATAAACTTTTTCAATTAAAATAATATAATAAATATAACATGTAATCATGACGCAAACAGCAAATATTAATTTTTATATTTCCTAAAAAATATAAAACAAAATATTTTAATGTAAATAATTATTGTTTACATTGCATTTGATTATACAATGTAACATTGAAAAATATTAGCATTGTATGCTTTCACTATTAAATTCAACAGCATAATAATAAAAAGAATATGAGATTTTGCAAATCTATAAGATTTACAACTTTGTAGATTGAAACGTTAGAAAACAAAGAAATTATTAAAAATTTAATTAACAAAACGATAAAAACGATAGTATAAATTGTGTATTAATTTAAACCAATTTCCCTAACAATGTATAATATAGAATAAATATTTTTTATAAATATATATTTAAAAGATAAAAAAATGTATTCTCATTGATATACAAAATTATGTGACGATAATAAACTGTAATGTTATTATTACTATGTACAACAATGGATTTAATTCCATTAGTAAAATCACAAAATTAAAGTTGCTAATTATAAAATGTTAGAAATATTTATTTAAAACAATTTTAAAAACATAATTTTTTTACATTATAATTTATTATTCATATTTAGAATTAAGGAGATTAGGATACTAAATAAGGGATTAATATTAGATCAAATAATGCTGGTATTTATATTAAATAGAAATAATTTAATATTTCATATTCATCTTCGATAAAATAATATTAATAAAATACTTATGACAATAATAAAATTATATAAAATACATGAATTTTGAATTATAATAAAAGTGGTATCTTTTTACAGTTTTTTTTTTAAATATATAAATATTATTGTATACTTCAATAATTTATTAAATAATACATGCAAAATTGAAAAAATACATTTAAAAATTCACTAATATTGATTTGATAACATTACATTATGTTCTTTTTGTGCGTATATAAATATAATACTTATTATTTATATATATATATATATATATATACATATATATATATATATATATATATATATTATTTCTCACAAAATTTTCTAATTGAAGTAAATCTTTGGAAAAATTAATGTATATAAAACTATTTTTTGTTACTATCAATACTCTATCGCAACTTATTATTGAATTATAAATAAGATTTCTGGATCTATTAGTTTATATTTTTAAGAATTGTAAAGTTAAAATACTGACAGTCATATTTAAAATTTATGTTGATAATATAAAAAACAATAACATTAACAGCAAAGATAGGGTTTTTCCTTAATTCCATGAGCAATATTCATATTTACTAAAACTTCTTCGCTTAAAGGCACATCAGAATTTTTTATCTCCGAATTATTAAAATCGTAAATTTTTAACGTTGTGACAATATCTTTTTCACCAGTCGATAACTTTAAGAGTCCGAAGCTGGCAGCTAAAAATACCTGTTCAACGCCTTCATCGTGTAACACTGAAATTTCATAATACGAAGCACCTATAGACTCCGCATATTTTCTACACTCTTCGGAATCTACTTTTCTCATATCAGCTAAATCCAATTTATTACCTACGAGTATAAGTACCATCGTTCCCTCTACATTTCGTTTAAGTTCTGTAACCCATGACTTTACAGAAGTAAAAGTATTATATTCCGTTATGTCAAAAACAAGAAATGCAGCATTAGCATTCCTATAATACATAGGGGCCATTGACTTAAACCTCTCTTGACCAGCAGTGTCCCAAACCTAAATTAAATATTTAAATAATTAATACTGAAGATAATACTGAAGCAAATTCTATTGAAAATCATATAAACTTTAGAGCAATGAAAATTAACGACTAACATTCTATCATAATGTTTACAGTTGTAGAAATTTAGTAATAAAAATTAGTAGTCGATCAAATATATTAATAATAAAGGCAAAATCTGTTCATTTATTGACAAATTTTTAGACATATATAAATAATTTGCATTTGGACAGAATGACTTTATATTTTATATTTACTAAAGAGTGCTTAAAGTTTATTTAAATTGTATTTGGTATAGTATATAAAGTATATGAAATAATTACTTACTTGAAATTTGACTTTTGCATTATCTAAATTTATTGTACAAGTAAAAAAAGCAGCACCAATTGTTGGATTTACGTTATTATTAAAAGATTTATTTACATATCTGTTGATCATACTAGTTTTTCCAACACCTATATCAATCAATAAAATTACATCTATTTTATTTGTAAATTATACTTATAAAAATAGTATGACAATGAAAAACTATTTAAATTAAAATTTATTATTTTGATTATTATTATATTAACAAATATCTGTAAATAAAATTTACAATATAAAATATAGTTATCATATGTGTATATATATATATATATATATATATATATATATATTTTTTTTTTTTTTATTGTAACAATTATTTATTACAATTAATCAAGGCTGATTGAATTATGAACAAAGAACTAATACAATGCTGCAATAAAATAATTACAATCGTTTTTAACAATAAATAGATAATTCACTACTATTACCTTACAAATAAATAATGAAAATAAATTGCAATAACAAGAATATAATAAATTTAATTTTACTTGCATATAAAAATAGTTTCCTTACGTATAATTCTTATTTACCTTGGGATCCAAGAAGAACGACTTTTCCTTCGACGGTTATCATATTTTGTCATAACAGCGAGCATTTAACAAAGAGACAAAAAGTTATGATTATGTAGAATCTACAATCGATCGATTTACAATTTTAACGAAAACATTGCATGCAAATTACTTTTACTTTTTCTTCACTTTTAAAAATCACTATTACGTCAAAATATCAATATAAATTTCAATAAAGTTTGATCTATTATTATAGAGGCGTATATTTACGGAAACAGATTGTACGAAATTTTTTCAAATTACACTTAATCAGATTATCAGATACGTTTATAATAGAAATAATAGCTAAACAAATACTTAAGATAACTACAGAGTAGAGATTACAAAAACAAAAGAGAAAAATGATTTTAACCGTAGTACTGATGTCAGAGATCATTGATTAAGACGCCATTTTTGTCTTCAATTTTTTCAACCCAATGCGATATTTTCATATTACTGACACATTTTAAGTTTCATAATCTCAAATTACTATGCACATGTAGATATCTCACTAACCGTATTAAGAATTATCTAATTATACAATGTTTATTCAATTTTACATTTTCAAAAGATTATATTATATTATATAACTGAAAATAACTTATTTATAGGAAGTATTTTTATTTTAAAAACGTTAAGTCATTAAACATTATTGCTAATAACATTTTAATACCTATAAATATGACTTGAAAGCCTAGATATATAACAAATTTCGATAAATAGATTATTGTGTAATGAAAATGAAATTGATAAAGATCGGTGTTAATTCACAGATAAAACGTACCAAAAATATCCTTATCAATTATAAAACAAACAGGGCAGTTCCAGTGATGTTGAAATATTTAATCGATTTATGTGCACACACACACGCACGCACGCACACACGCGCACGCATATATTTCTTTATATATGAAATATAAATATTTATTCAAAATTTTTAAATAAAAAATTAGTATAAAACTAATCAATATTAATGTTCTCATAATTTATACTTTAATAGTTTTAATGTTAGAAAAAAAAAACGATGCATTAAAATATACATGTCATAAGTTATTAAGATATTTTACTTACAGCTTCATTAAAACTAGTTATATATTAAAATTATAACATTTGTTGCGTAATAAGGGTATTAGAAAATAATAATTTATAATAAAATTACATCAAATAGAGAAAGCATAAAACAGGACGCCATCGATACATCTAATCTATGATTTTCAATTAGTTTTTTTAATAAAAATGTCATACCTATTAGGACGACAAATTTAAATAAGTATTAATTTAACTAGCTGAATTTTGCAACAAAAGATAAATTACATTTACTCAAATAATTTATTAATTAATCTTTGTAGTAGTTTACTTACTATTACGTTTTACATTAAAAATAGAATTTTTATAAAATATCCTTATTTTCGCACATACGTACATAATTTGAATAAAATATTAATTTCAAGAATAAACTTTTCAATTAATTATCTTGGATTATTCAGATGAACTCCAAATTTATAAATGAGATCGTGATAATAAAATTGTCCTGGCCGTAAAACCGAGGATGGGAAATTTTTCTGAAAAGCATAACATATTATTAATGAATTTGGTGAAAAACTGTTAGAAAAATTTTGGTGTAAATAATACTTAAATTATTATTATTGTATACGTTTTACATTTCATATATGTATTTTTAATATCAACTTACTTACATTTATATGAATATAATTATTATTTCAGTATTGAAAACTTTTGTTAAATAGAAAGATAATTTATATCTTTAATAACTAATGTTAAAATTACCAATATTCCATTAATTTGAGCACCTTAAATTTTATTTCATTTTTAGTTATACCAATACACTTTATCTATATAATAAATTCTAATGTAAATGTCAGAATATGCAATTAATGCTTTAAAATTATGTTCTCTTGTTAAAACGTTAAAATAATTGAGGTTTTATTACTATGAGTAATAATAGTAAATTATTAATTTTTTAATGTAATATTTAAAAATAATGTATCAAATATTATCGTCAATAAGTATATCTTAAGCAAATATAAATAAATAAAGCTTATACGCCTTAAATAAGCTCGATTATTTATGACATTGTAAGTAAATTTTAAACTAATAGAAATTAATTTACTCGTCAAAAAATTCTAACTGTCGTTAATTTTTAAGAAAAAAAAAATAATTATTTAAAAAACAGTACAAGATCCTTACGACATTTATAGCATTTGGATAATTCTGTGGCTGCACGCTAAAAGCACCAAATTGCGTATACTTTGTTCCACATTTTCCAGGCAAATATTCCACCGTGGAAGATTGGCTCCCCATGATTTCGGTTTCGCAGTCGCACGAACATTCGCAATCACCGCCACTCGAAGAATCATGACAACTTTTATTGCAATCGTCGGAGTCTGCACCTTCATTCAGCGAATAAGGTGGTAATTGGCCTCCGGTATAAAATTGTACACCTGGTTGATCAGAATAGACCTCCAAAAACCTTATAAAAATATTAAACCATGCGTTATAATTAAAAAAGTGTGAACTAGTATGTGAAATCCTATTGATATTAATTTAACAGTAAAATGTTACCGTCGATACGCATGTGCTTTTTAAGTAAGATTTACATATATATTTCTTCGATTATTAATTATATATCAAATTTCTCTTGTAACGTATCAACGGTACAACAATATGAAAATGTAATTGTGTAATTAGACATTGTGAAATTTTTAAATTACCATTATTATGATTAACAATATAACATGTCACGGAGTGAAAGAAATCAAAATTAATAACTTCCATTGCTTTGTGTTTATTTTGATTAAAATTATCATTACATGTACAGTGTATTAGTCCATTTTACCACAGTAATAAATAAATAATAAGCATATATATATATATATATATATATATATATATAATTTCGATATTATTGTAGCGAAATTATTTATTATTATTTTGAATTATTTAGGTAATTATCTTTTTTTATCAATAGTTATTATTTAATATTTGATTCGTGAAAATATATTTTTCAAATAATTTAAGACATTTTACTAAAATTACCAACACGAATGTATTATTCAATAATAACTAATTTTTATCCATAGAAAATACGTTTTAAATATAATATTGGTATTGCCATATAATAATCAAAATTTTAAATAGTAATTTCCATATTTTTTGAAAATATAATTGTTTTATTCTACAGGTTTTTGAAAAAAATTATGTAAATGTATTCAAATTATAAAAATTATGTATATATTTGTGTTTATCATACTAAATTATAAATTGTATTCTATTTTAAAAGGATAATAAAAATATATCAGGAGTATGAAGGATTATACTAAAATATTTTTTTCAAAATTCGCTATATATTAAAAAAAAAAAAAAAAAGAAGTTTTTAAATATCGCATTTCACGAGACAAAAAACCAATATAACCTAATTTACATATTATAAAATATTATAATATTATGGCAAATACCTCCCGCTTTTTGCATGAGATATTCTGGAAATCAATGAAACCTGCGGCTGTACACTTCTAACAACACAGAAATTGTGATTATAGCCTTTATTTAGTGGAACCTAAATATCATTAATAAAACTTTGAATGAGAGGGAAAAATATATATTTCATCTTTTAAAAATAATTGTAAGACTTTCCATTCAGACGTTAAAATAAATTTGTTTAATTATTTTTATATATTTTATCCATAAACATATATATATATATAATTGAAATACCATTACTATTAAAAAAAAATTATGATATTTATTTAAAGAAATTTTTTATTTCTATGCGGTATCGTTAGTTATTTTGTTGTTTGTTTCTTTTATTATTATTGAATAATGTTATTCATACTTTTTCTATAACGTCTTTCATTTTGCGTGACATTCGTAGATCCATTATTGTACCACCGACGTCGCGAATTTTTCCAGTTGGTATAGGATTCTCACAGTCAGTGTAAGTCCAACGATCACAATTTAAAGAAATTTCATGTTCCATCAATTCAGTCTTACCGGTTCCCTATTAGATAAAGTATAAAGATAAAATTACAAAAAAGATACATAAATACATTTAAGAGTTTTATTCTGAAAATACTCAAAATACTCATTTGCATAATTTGTCCAAATACACATTTTAATTAAATTTATCTGATAAAATAAAAAATCAGCAAAATTATATTTAATTAATAGAAATACATTAAATAAATAAATTATAAAATAAAAATTATCTTATATATATATATATATATATATATATATATATATGAGTTGCCTCTTACATGACCAGCAAGATTGAAAAGAGATCCATGTGATAAATTAACGACTGTTGGTTTTGATGTGCTAGCTCTCATATTTATTTCTAGACTATTATTATTCGTCAATCGAAATTTAATTGTAGTAAAAACAGAGCCTGGGTAACCTTCTTCGCCATCGTCGCTCAAAAGGCTCATTATCACGTGAGAACCATCTTCAATGTACGGCTCCCAGACTCTTCGACCAAAGCCATTAATCTACGCAATACGCATTTATAAAATTAGTCTCATAATCAAAATAAAATCTTTAGTTTTTAATAATTTAACTTGATTTTCTTTCGGCACGAAATCATCATTTTTACTGAAAATTACGTACGCCTCCATGTAAATGATGCTTATTTCCATCATTTTTTGTTAAAAAGTACTCTAAATTTTGTATCTTAAAGGTTCCATTCATTATATGATTGGCACTTCTACCGAGAACACAACCGATGTAATTATTTAATGTTGGATCCAAATAAGCTAAAATGAATTAAATTTCTATAATTTATAATATAATACGTACACGAATATAAACATACATTCCTACAAATACACATATGTAAATGTGGTAATAAACCCTGTTATTGAATTAGAAAATTCAATTTGCTAATAAAAAAACGGCTGTAATGAAAAAAAATGATTAACTGAAAAATTGAAAAGTTCTCATAAATTATTATAAATAATGTAAAGATTATTTTTACATTTTGTTTCACACAAGTAAATAAATATTATACTTAAAAGTTTTAGTCTTCGTTTATTTAAATAAAATATATTACAGTAGATAAATCGAAAATTTCGAAAATAATGGCAAAAAAATATATAAAATTTAAGTTATTATAGTAAGTACAACTTTTTTCTTTTTTCTTTTTTTTAATTATATTAAAAAATAATATTATAACACAGTATATCTTATATTTACTCATCTTAATAATAACTTTGATCTTAAAAATATAGTATACATAATGTTTATATCACTTATTTAAAATTGAAAATATTTGTTCGAATTCAATTATTAAAAATACTTATTAATCCATTATTATATTACACGTTTTTAGATACGTATTTATTAAAATTTATAAAATATGTGTTTATTAATAGAAATATTATTTAATATGTAATATTGATGAAAAATGTAAGAAGGAAATTTTTACATATCCTTTTCATTATAAAAATTTAAGATATTGTATTAACAAATAACTCACTTTGTAAGTCGTCAAAGCCAAGTACGATATCAGCAACTTCACCATATTTATCAGGACACTTGATCGATACAATAGTGGCACCCCAACTTATTAATACAACTTCCATTCCATTATCATTAGTCATCGTATATGATTTGATTTTAATTGGTTCAAAAAATTTTTCATTCGTTGAACATTCACATTCATCGTATGACGAACTTCCAGTAGATTCAACTCTATCGTCATTCTGATTATTGTCGTCTATGATGTAATTTACATAATGGCGAATAGGATTTGATTATATAAACAAAACGTTTTACCATGTAAATAGATTTGTATAATATATTTATATGCATAAAATTCAATCATGTGTTAAAGTTTTACGTATTTCCGTATAATATCAGAAGGAAGGAAAAATAAATTAAATTTTTGACAATAGTAAGAATCATATTTTTGGTGGTGAGAAAGCAAACGGATTAACGTATTAGGCAAATTTATTAATGCCAATAAGTTCATACAATATAAATTTTATAAAAATTTATCAGATTTCATATAAACGTTTCCACAAATATTGATTTTTACTTCAATAACAAAAATATATTATCTATATGAATTTTTATATTTGCAATAAAATTGCGACTTTTTTAATCATTCGTTCAAAATTATATCAATGCAAATGTGTATAATATATATGGACATTTAAAGGAAAAAAATTTATAAAAAATTTTCAATAATTTAATAAAGCACAATATTTCTAACCTTAATAGAAATGATTTATTTAATAAAAAAAATTCCTTATTTTTCAAATGAATTGTTTGTATTATTGACAATAAAAAATTTCACCTGATAATATTTCACCAAATTCTCCTTCAATTATAGAAATTTTTCGGCAATCACAATTTGGTTTTGTCATTATTACTTTAATAAAACAATTTAATAAAAGTCAAAAATTTAATTGGTTAAATGTTATATTTAAAAAATATTCTTTCGGCCTCGATCATTAACAGATTTTCCTTGTTGTTTTGTTTTTCAAATAATTTTCTATAAGATACTTATAATATTTATATTTCTTAATTAATGATCCCTGAATACATTAAAATTTTTAAGTATAATTATATTCAATTAAATATTAAATAAGATTTTTACTTCAGTACATGCATTCTTAATTGTTTTTTAATCTTGTTTTTGTTAGTGAAAATATTTATTATGTATTAATCTAAATAAGTAAGAAAAAAATTATTTTTTTTCGTATTTTGTTAAATGAAAAAATTAAATAATAACATGTAATAATATTATATGACTTATTATATATATATATATATATTTTTTTTTGTGTTAGATAATATTTTATTAATAGATTTTATTAATTCAATATCATAATTTATAATAAAATCTTTAGTGAATTGATTTATTGTATTGTTTACCCATTAATAAGATTATAATTATTTTATTGATAAAGTAAGTAAAGTTTTTATAATTTATTTGCATCATAAGTGAATGCTCCTTGTTAGAAATATAAATTAGTAATTATTAATTTAATTTATATAAATTATTACAAACATTATATATCACAATGAAATAATATTTTACTGAATACAAAATTCCAGTGATTTTATAATAATTTAGCTATTTATTTATAATATTTACTTTTATAAGCATTTTATTTTTTCCAAAATACTATCGTAGTTTGAATTCTTTTTTCAATAAAATATTTTACAAAATAACTACTTTTACTCTTTTTTTTTTTTTTTTTTTTTAAATACAATGGCAATTCAAAGAAAAATATTAATAAAATACATAATATTCGTATTGTATATATGTTACTTAATATTTAAATAGATAAATAATGGTTTATTTCTAGTGAGCTTAGATAAGATTTGATTTAAAAATGCTTTCTCGATCTTTATTATCTTCTTCATATAATAATTTTCAAAGATAAAATTTCTTACTATTTTTTAAACAGTTTTCAATTTTTGTCATATTAAAGATTACGTAAGCGAAATAATCCATAAGAAAAGATTTTTTTTCATTTATTCATAGTTTTAATAGTCGACTAGAAAAAAATCTTTTTGAATACATACTAAATAGATATTACTTCATTCAGTTACGACATTATTACTTCAGATTTTAATGAAATAAGGAATGCTTGTCTATTAATAATGATATAACAATAGTATAAATTTTTAAAATTATTTATTAATAACCGATAGCCTGCGCTACAATTCGCATTGCAATATTACAATTATCATTATATATAATTTTAATACGGATTAATCGAATTTAATTGACAATACTTGAAAAAATACGCGAACTTTCAGTGTAGTTGCGCGTAATAAGTGAAGCATACTTATCGCGTTATACTTTTTTATTTTGTTTATTTGTTTACAAAAGAAATCAGAAATTAATCCGTTACTTAATTAAAGTATCAATGTTGTGAAGAATTTCTTATAAATATGCATTATTTTGCATTAACTTAATTTTGTCAATTATATATTCAAGCAAAAATGATATATTTTTTTGATGAATTTTGTTTGTTTCCACACTTTTGAAAAAAAGTACATTGTAAGTTTCTATATATTTGGGTATAAATATTGCTCATAGTATAAGTTTGTTATATTTGCTTAAATATCGCCCATATTTCTTGTATGATAATATCCAAGATATTGCAACAACAATAATTATCTAGAAGACTCATATATTAATATATAATTATATAAAAATTTTTATAATTTAAATATGATAACGTGACACTAGTTCTATCAATATGTATATATATATATATATATATATATATATATATATATATATTATAATGATTTGTAATATTGTTTTTATGATAATTATTTTTTAATGATTCTATTCCAATGTAAATTATATACAATTTTATACAATTATATATTATGTAGCATAAAATAGATATATCATATAGTTTGTGCTTTCATTATAAATAATAATTTTTTCAAAGGATTTTCTGTAAGACACTGCATATTCCTGCATTATACTCTATTTTTATTTATTCTTGTATCTATTTTATTTTATTTTTACATCTTTTACAGGTTTCTTTAATAAGGCGAACATACTAAAGCAAATACTTCTCGCTCAAAATATACATACATGTTGAGAACACATTGCATTTTCAGCAGTTGATAATAAATAATTCTAATAAATGTTCTAAAACCTTAATTAGTATCATAATATATATTATTATTATTATAATTTTATTATCTTTGTATCATTATTTATCTTCTATTTTAATTATACAATTATTTGTCTGTTTTATTTTTCTAACACGATCACATTTAGTATGAAAGATCTATTAATATTTCATTCTTGAAACACTTTATTTATTTAAATATATAAATTATTACTAACATTTGGATTATTTGGTTTTCGTTTTTATAAATATTTTATTCATTATAAAAATTCAATTTCATTATATTTATTAGTGCCTACTAAATGAGATAAGTAATAATTGAATTCGCTATAAATGTTAAATATTTTTTTTTGTAAGACGAATTATAAGTATTAAAAAATGTAAAATTAAATGGAAATGATCAAATTGACAATGATAGAGATTAGTAATTTTTAAATATTTTTGTTTTTGTTTTTTGATACTGTAATAATCATTATTGACTGATTTTATAGTTATAATTAATTATCTTTTATAATTATAATTCTCAAATAAACATTATCTTTATTTTATATTTAATAATTATTAATCAATATTTCTAAGATGTTCATATACATTTTAGTAAAATTTAAAACTAATTTTATTTATGTTAATAGGTATATATTAAATTAGTTTTTTTTTTTTTTTTTTTTTTTTTTTTTAATTTTTCAGTTATTAATGAAAAATAATATGTACAATAAATTATTAAATAATAATATAAGGTGTTATAAAATATTTATTTACTTGGTTTAATTTGATTTTACATATTCTATAAAAACATTATTTGAAATGTAACTTTAAAATTTAGTAATTCAGAAGATGTACCAAATCACAGGATTAAGCGACCATACATTATTATTTTGACTTTCATATTACATTAAAATACTCTAATACATTTATTGAGTTTCACAATCTTTTACCTTACCGATCAACAATCAAATGAAGTATCGCATTTATAAAAACGTGTTTAGCATAATATTCACATTTTTTTAATCAATTTGGTCATATTTTAATAATTTTATATATTACGGTTCGCATGTTATATTTTATAATTATAATCGCAGTTGTTTCTTTTCTTTCTAAAGTATTTCTTTTGTCTATATACGTACAAATTGCCATTTACAATTATTTGTCATTAATATTAACACATAATTTTTAAGTATTTATCATTATATAATATATACCATAGTATAAAAGCATATTTATGTCGAATGTGATTATGTAATTAGTATAATCCTGATAATTCTAATTTAATATTTATTTGTAATTATTAATTTTTATTTTGATTAGATAACACAAAATCGAACATAGGAGAAAGATCATTTAATAAACATTCAATCGTGTTATTTATTAAAAATTATCACAAATGTTACTACATTCACAAGTATATTTTTTGATCATAATTTAATTCACCCTCAACTCATTGCATAAATTAGATGAATATATTAGTATAATTAAAAAACTATTAGTAATGCATCTTTTTATTACAATATATTCTTCAGTGAAAAATTAATGACTAGAATCGAATATGAGCCACGTTACTTTTGCTTTATATTTAAAATTATATTTCGAAGTTTCGCCTACTTTGTCATACTAGAAAATGTATTAGAATTTTGATTAAGTTTAATCATTACGAGGTTGAACACGCATATAAAACTATTTGTTTTTAATTGTTAATGAAAACAATAAACATGATATACATAAGTGTGAAACATAACTATTGAATCAAGAAATACAATTATTCAAAATTATTATTATACAAAAAACGAAACTTTCAAAATATCCTTAATAAACTTATGTTTATCGTATGTATATCAATAAAAAATAATAAAATATATAATGATAAATTTGTTAACGTTATTTTACAATAATAAATTTAGTTTAAAATTAATTTATAATTATATTATAAATTATTTTAATTTGTGTTATGAAATAATAATTATTATACAGTTAATTTTTTGTTTTAATTGAATTAATATTACTTATAGTTCTTTTTATATTAATTGATAGACACATTTATTCGATAGCTTAAATTTACTATAACGGAAAGCTAAATTTTTTCACTTTTATAATTTTTATTTTTGGGCAGTAAAATTCCATAACTAATTTTAACTACCCAAAAATGAAAATTTATAATAAATAGAATTATACATGAAATATTTGTATGCAAATTATTACATAAAATTTTTTATTTCAGATGAATGCATTAATATTTATAGTTACATCTATATGTACAGTTGTGTAGAAAAATAAATAAATTTAATGCATGAATTTTATGTCTTTGTCAGAAGAGATTTCAGTAATTTCTTTATTGCGATATTAAAAAAATTAAGTATTCATCATTTTTTTCTCTCTCATTATTTCTTATAAATCAACATAGTTTCTGTATTTCATGTTTTACAATTTTGTACGTATTATAGATAGTAAATAAGAAACACTGTTTGTACGAACAAGTGTTTCGCAAAATATTACATGAAATAGCCATAAAATAAAAATTTCAATTGAAAATGTTTATATTTTTTATATTGATTATTTAGAAATTTATCTAAAAAATCTAAATTGATAATTGTAAGTGAATGTTATAAAACTTTTAATTAACAATTGAAATTATTTTAATATGCTCTGATGATTATTCTATAACAGGCCACAATTTTAAGACTTATTAATGGTATATTTTCTAAAAAGATCTACAAGATATATTTAAATAAATTTCACTTACATAGTAGCAAAAAAAAAAAAAAAAAAAAACTAGGCTATTCTAGTGTAAAGATACGTAAGTTCATTACGTATTTCATCAGCAATGGCTGATATATTAAAAATTAATGAAATAATAAATATAACTTAGACTAGCACGGTTGGCGACTACGTAATATTAACATAAAATACAAAAAAAAATTTATGCTATTAAGTCATTAATATATAGCTGCCGAGTATTCACAAGTAAAATAATTAAATAATCATTATTAACAATTTATTACAATTATTAATATATTTATATATCTATGTATAATATACTATCTAATAATTTGAAAAAAAGAAGATCTTTTTTCACCATTTTGGAAGCATATTGAAAACACTTTTTGCCATCTATTTCTCTCTCTCTCTCTCTCTTATTTTCTCGGTTACTCATGTCACTTAATTGTTAAGTACGTGTTTATTAGCACCGCAGTTTTTCTATCATTTGTAAAGAGATTAAGAAAAGCAATCATTAGGTTTTTGTTTCCATTTTGTCAAATACATTTTGTATCTCAGTCAATGAGACTTTAGTCTCAAACTTGCTTTTCTAGTTCGCTTGAACGCTTAAAAATTTATAATATATAATAAAAAGTAGAATCATTAAAGTACTAAAATGAGCTATCAACGAAGAAAATATGTCTTTGGTATTATTTACTTTTGTAGCTAAATAAAGTGAAAATAAATGATTTGCTTAAATGTTGTGTAAAAAGTTATGAGCATTTTTACAATATAAGGCTTGAATGTATATTATACATTTTTTATAATAATTCTCATATATGTCAAATTTTTAAAATTCACGTTTAAATTTTTTCTATCAAATCATATAAAATTATTATTATAACTATGAGAATTATTCTTATCGGATGTAAAATGCACTTATCAGAATAAATATTAGATAAAAGTTAATGATATCTCTTCGTTATTTAAAATTGAGTTCATACATATTTAAAAAATATTATTTAATAATATAAAGTTTTATAACAATTTTATGTCCGCAATTTAAATAAAACTTTGCACATAATGAATGAAAAATAAGAAAATTTAGTATTTTATAATCATTCTATATTAATGTTTTAATGTCTAAACTTATAAAAAAAAAAAAAAAGAATGAAACATATTTTTAATAATAATTCTAGTTCAATTGACAATATTTCCATCGTGGATAGCTTCGAAGTTTCCATTTCTAAATACAAATCGCCAAATAATATTATAATATATCAGTATTTTTTTTATCAATGTATGTGTTTGTATTATAGATTTATGATTTTTTTTTTGTTTTATACGACTTTTATCACATTATAATCAATTAGCTATGCCTAAATGTGGTTTACAAATTCGTAAAAAGTTTATCGTAAGATAAAAATTTTGTGAAAGTTTTTAGCGATTACAATAATTAAAATATAAAACTATAATATTATTATGGTATAATAAGTTTTTAATATATATATATACATACACACGTGCACGCATCAGCGCACAAACACACACACGTATATTAACTATGTCGATAATAAGTTTGAAAAGATTATAGACATAAGGCTATGTCTAATTTACGTATAGAATTAATTTTTTAAAACTATTTATATTCTTCCAAATGAAGATATAAAAATATATTTGGCGGTTGAAAATATTTAAAGTAATTTCTTATATATTTTAATAAATAAGAATTTTAAATTAGTTGTTAATTTTTTTTAAAACGATACTCAATTATATTCATTTTAGTTTAGTCTATTGAATTCATTTAAAAATAATGATTTGCGTATGTACATATATATATATTTCATTTCAAATATCTATTAAATGTAACTTTGAATGCCAATAATTAAAATACGAATTTTCTTCTGAATTACAATATTAACTTACTTACATAATATAAATAACATTACTATATTTATTTTTTTTTTCGCAAGTATAATTAATATCGATTAAATTATATTTGGTAAAAAAAAATTTCTTAATAATTATTAAACTATTTTTAACATTAAATTTAATTCTAAAATTCACCGTATGCATATACGCGTTTTGTAGCCTACAATACTGATAATTGCGAAAGGCTGCAAGGATTTGCAAATTTATAATTTTATTGATTAGATACTAAAGTAATAATTTATTCGCAATACATAGAAAATGCAAATAACTTTTATATTACTTTTGAATAAATATTTTTTTCTGCTTTTTTTTCTTTTTTTTGAAGTTTCATGGGTTAATTTTTTTACTATTACGTTTTATTTAAAATTGCTTAATTAAATAAAATTTTATAAAACGTAATGAATCAAATTCTGTATACGTATTATATTATGTTTATAAAAATATTAAAGTCCACTAAGAGAAACATAAAGTAATATGAAGTGTTCGTTCGAAATAATTCAATAATAAAAATAATCAAGACTTAAGATACAAAAGCGATATATAAAATTATTTTTAATTTATAAAAAATATGTATCATTGTGCGATCACGTTTTGATTGTTCTCTATATTGAGTGAAGAAATTGCTTATGCAAACGAATTAATGCAGAAAACGCCATATATTATGGCAAATTGGGGAATGTGAAGTTTCGAAATTTCATTTACGTACTATATAAATTCACTATTTCATTAGTACTTGTATTAACAGTACCAATGTTGCATTAATAAAGTTATAACTTCATTTTCTTCCAATGCTTTTTAAAATAAAATTATACTTATCTAAAATCTATATTTGATACATATCATTGTTTCTCAAATATAAATACTGTCTAATAAATGAAATATTTTATTCTTATGATAATAAAATGTTCACGTATTAAAAATAACAGACAAATAATTTTTATCACTTCGAACAAAATTTGACATTTAGGTCAATTTTTCATCGTATGAAAGTGATCGTTGAATTAAAGTTTTATATTTAATTAGTGTGCAATTTCTTCATTGCACATTTTTCTCTATTCTACGATATAAAACAAGAATGCCATAGTAAAATTTTCATACATGAAAATCTTGCAAATCAACATATGAACTTCTTTTATAAAAAATGCTTTACGCAGGAATGTTTTTATTAATGAGAAATGCTAAAATTATTTGCATATAAGCGCAAAGAAAATTTGAATCAGTAGTATTTTATTTTTTATTCCTAAATACTTTTGGAATCGCTTGAATTTAATCGTTTCGGAATGTAATCTATCAAAAATGTAACATCCTTCAAAGCAATAAAATATCTCAAGAACTTCTAAGCAATACTTAAATTTCTCATTGATTTCATTTTATAGTAAATCATAGTTACATAATGTATAGGTAATTATTTTGTATCTACATGAATTTTTCATTAGCTTAAAAATTACGTAGATGTAGATATAGTTGTATGATCTTTCATTATCCTGCTATTTCTATACGTCAATTATATTAAATAATATTCTTATTATAATGTATCAATGTTGATTTCGACGTATTTAAATCGATGGTTAAAGGCAGTGATTTGCAATACTTAAATGGATGCAAAAGACATAATTTACTGCACGATTTTATAAATAATTAATTTTTAATAAGGAGTATACTATGAAAATAGAAAGTATATACACAATCACCCACACGCGCGCGCTCGCACACACACACACACACGCGCGCGCACACGCACACACACACACATTTATATATATATATATATATATATATTTGGTACAATAATTTTTTATTACAATCATGATAATTTTTATATATCATAAATAATGTACTATTTTATAATCAAACTTTATTCTGAATTATATTACTTAATGTGCAGTTGTTTGTGACAATTATTGTAAAAGGAATTTTTACAATAGTAATTCATTACGATAACTGCGCAATATTTCAACTACGCACGCACATACACTCACAAACCCACGCGCACGCGCACATATCTTAATGCAAAATCTATCATTATAAAATCGTTCAAGCATCTCTAATTATTATGAAACTTTTACATCCGGTTAAATGAATAATATCTCACGTCGAGACATTTTGGTATCGTCGGCCTATATAAGCCAATGTTATGACAAAAATTCTCTTTCAAGTTCCGAAATGCTGGGTTTGCGATTACGACTAGTTCGTCGATTCGTTTGCGCTGGACTTGTAATTTCCGTTGTCTGCGGATGTGCCAGTAACTCCCGATCGAATGTAACTGGAGAGAAACGTACCCTGCTAATGGAGATCTGGCTGTCCTTTGCCGATACGTAGCTGGAATCTTCTGAAGTGAGTGAGTCAGGTGGTGTTGGATTCGTTGGAGTTCCTGCATGTGACAAATTTTTCAAAGTTTTATTTAATTTCTTTTTATTTGTTAATTTTTTAAATTAAAATATTAATTGACGTAAATGCTTTCCATTTTTTATGTGATAAATTCGAAAATCAATTTTAATTTTTTTCTTTTTTTTGAAATTACAAATGACAGAGTTTGAAAATATAACTCTGAAAAAACAAAAAATTATATATATATATATATATATATATATATATATATATATATATATATAAATGAATTTGAAGGTATAATAAGTTACGGGAAAAATTGAAGTTTAATATTTAATATTAAAGAAATCTTTAATATTATAGAAATAATGTAGTATAGTTAACTACGCATTTTATCAACAATTATTTTGTTGGGTAGAATTATTTGTACTCTATACACTCACCGGATCCTGAATTATTTTTACTAGCACTTTTGTTTGGTGAACTGTAGGTATAATTTGTCCTCTTAAGACTCGATCGTAGTCGTGAAGCGACTTCAAGATTGCTGGGCCGATCACTTGAATTTGGATTGGAATCCTGAAAATTTTGACGAGCCAGATATTGTATGCCATATTCATGATTTGTCAAACTTGTGCTGCCGTAACTACCAGCCATGTTTGACATTACCAAATTGTTCATGTTACCGCGATAATAGCCCTAATAAAAAAAGAGAAAATCCTAAACTTAATGAGTGACTATATTTGTTTGGTCAAAATTTTATTTTCGAACAACAACAAAATTGTATTAATCATGACAATATAGTCCTTATTCTTTCTATTTTATTCTAATATAAATTATATGTATTATTTTGATAATACTTACCAAAGAAAATGTATTACAATTTTAAATTTCAAATATTGTCAAGTGTTGATATTATTAGTGTTTATATATAAATATATATATATATATATATATGCACTAATGGAATTATTTTAAATTAATGATATTATTTTGAAAGAATAAAGAAAAGATTTTCCATACAATTTATATTAAATAAAAATAGCATTACATAATTTTCACTTTAAATCTAGTATATTTATTTATAATTCGAATTGTTAAATATCTTCGATTAAATTTATCGATTACTAATGCTAAATTTTGCTCATAAAAAAAAAACCAACTACTTGTTTGATCGAGTAATTTTAAGCGATTATTATTAAGAATGTTAAAGATTAAAACAAAAACAATGAAAAATACGCAAAATACCGAGAATAAGATTACAATAAAGGGTAATGTACGCATTGAATAAAAATAATAAAGTATTCTAACAAATGAGTGTCCTGGTGAGTAGGGCGACGAGTAGTCCGCTTCGTCGTCCAATCGGAATGTGGGATTGATATTACTTTGCGACGATGAGCTCGTGTTTGAAACATTTGATGATGTTCGATGATGGGTGTAGGATGGTAATCGATTACTGGTTCGCGCTGGGCTGTTCAAACTGCTTGGATTATCATAGGCGTGTGGGAATTCCGTGCACTCCAACATTCTGTCACTGGCAAAAGTAATTTTAAGAATTAAGAGAAAAATAAAGGAAATAAATAAATAATGGTGAAGATGACGGGTATCGGTAATATAAATATTTTCATTTTTATGTCAATAGAATTTACGATAATGGAGCGGAATGTAATTACGCTAGAGCTTGAAATTTTATAATATCTTAACAAAATTTTTGACAAAAATGTCTTCCGAGGATATTCAACTTTATTAGCAATTACTTTATTTAGATCAATGCATATATATATATATATATATATATATATATATATATATACATATATTTCCTGGATATTTACAATATCGAAAATCTCTTTTCTATGACACGTATTTTAATAATGAATGTTAAGAGGATAAGAAGAAAGCATGGAAACATTAGACAAAATAGAATTACCGAATCTAGCGCAAAAGAAATTGTCGCTCGAGCAACGCGAACCATCGGTTGAACAATTATTTTCTCATAGATATTGATAATTGTGTACAAGGAAGCTATTCGATTCAGTGATTGTGAAGGTAACTTGGTCGATGTTTTAATAATAACATCAACAATTATGACATAGATGTAATTGTCATTTCGCAAATTTCAATTTTAATGTTAAAAAGAAGCGAAAAAGACAAATTGACATTTCACGACGCAATAGCCTATTTGGTTATTTACGCGATTCATATACAGAATATTGCAATACACAGACAAACATTGCAAGTAATTTATTATTTTATCCCAATCGTTTTATATTGCACGTAGTCGACGTAAAATATTTAAAATTTGGTTACAAAAGTTAGTATATAATGTTCTTCCAATCTGTCCTCAGACTCAATGTATCATAAGTAGGGAATTAATTTTGGAAGTATTTTGAAATGTTGTACTAACTGGTAGTCTGATGATCCTAAATACGTCGATTCGGCCGGCCTATAATAATCTCCCGCAGCGACAACCGTATAAACAGGTGGCCCATAATCTGGGAAGGACGTCTGATTGCCCATATACGCCGGTGGCAGTCTCTCTATCCTCGGTATCTCGAGCGAATAGGTGTCCTCGCTGCTTGTCACGGAGTTTTTGCGCCGTGGACTAGGCGTCGGGATGTTGGACCCGGTGCCAGCGCCGCTGTTACCCGATGTGATGTAATGCTGCGGCGAATCCGTGAAGCGAAGTGGTTTATCGTTCACCAGACCCGATACCGGCAATATCGATGGTATGACACCCATGCTGCTTAGAAATGGTCTGCGATAAGGCAAGCGTTATTAGATAAAATGAAACTTGGAATGTATAATTTGTGCTTATGAATATGAAATTTAATCTTAAAGCGGTCGATGAGAATCGAACGAAAGAAACTACCGACCGATTATACGTTAATACGCATTAATTTTATTAAATATTCCATAATTATATAGATAATTATGTAGCGTATTTATATATTTTTATAAATTACTCTAAGATACATTATCATTGTTATTTTTTATTATATATAGAACGCGGGACAATAATTTTCCGGAATCATATATATTTAGATATTTATATCGTTAAAAATATAAAATTGATCAAAAAAAAAAAGAAATTGTTTAAAATTATGAACTACTGCGAGCTTCTTAATCATTATATAAGAATATTTTGTATTATAAAAATATAAAATATTTAGTAATTTGATAAAACAAAAGTTATGTTTGTTAAAATTAAATTTTTGTAAAAATATGCAACTAAATTCAAATTTCTCCTCCTATTCAAGATTCTAATTGCAATTAGGTTGATTACGAAACGAAACTCATGACCATGAGCAGAGTATAATATTTACACTCGCGTCTCTTATTATGATGAATTTACTTTCGCACGTATCTTAATTGCATTACTTTATATCAGTTACGATTAGAAAGTAATTTTTCAAAAAAAAAAAAAAAAAAAAAAAAAAAAGAACATATTAAAAGCCTACAATTCAATTATAATAATAAAAATTTTACACTTTTTAACAAATTATATCTCTTACACTTAAACATATAGATTATAAATATTTTTGTTTTATCAATCTTCAACAGGTTGGACATTTTTTTGTGTAAAATTGCCATAAAATATTCAATTGTTAATTTTTTTTGTTATTCGAACAATTCTTTGATAAGGCATTAACATTGCGTTATTTGAAATACATATTTTATAATTAATATTATTCTTAATTAATAATTCATTGAATTTTAACTTAAAAATCATCAGCAGTCATTGAGTCATCGGTCTTTTTCAATAATAATATTTTTATAACGAAATATTCAATTAACGAGAAAGAATTGCTTTTACTAAATTTACATTCAAATTTCAAAATATTATGAAATCTCATAACTCCTATACTTTGTACCTTACATTTGAAAATGAATGGAGACAACTATAAAAACGAATAGCAGACCGGAATCATAGCAAATGAGTTTTAAAGCTCACAGTCTTTCGAACCGAATATTCAGACATCACTGAAAATTGTCGAGTTATTATAAAATATTACAGAGTTCTCTAAATATATTATTATAAGTATGAAATTAGATTTATTTCAATAAAATTTTATAATTGAAGTGTGTACGTTAAGAAAAAAAAAAAAAAAAAAAAAAAAAATTTAAAACATCGCGTTTATGTATTAAAATATTGTAAATTCGTAATGGCATATTTGTTATTATTGTTGTTATTTGGTCCACTTATTTTCCATATTGTCACGAGATACAATAGAAGAGGTCGATTATTACGTAAAATCCCTGGACCAACGCCTTATCCACTTGTAGGCAATTTGTTAAAATTCAATGTTAAATGTTTACGTTAGTATAATATTTATTTTAATTTAATTTCAAACCGCTGCAATACAAAAAATATATTTAATGTATAGCTTGAATTCAATTTTTTGTACGTATCTTAATAATATATTTATCTTCAAATAAATAAAAAGTTTAGAGAAAACTGTAGTAGAAAAAAAAAACACAAGAATTTTAAATATGTTATTAATTTTTTTTTTTTTTTTTTTTTTTAATTTTTATTTAATATTGCAGCGATATGTAATAATAAATTAGTGCTAGATAAACGATATCCCCGTTTAGTTTCGTACAACTAATTTCAGATGAATTTTGGAAAGTCGCCCGTGAAATTACGAATACATATTATCCAATAACAAGATTTTGGCTTTGCAAAACTGCTGTAATTAGTGTTCGTCATCCAGACGATTTAGAAGTAAGAAAGATAATTAACTTTTTTCTTAACCTTAATTACTATAATAAATTTGGAACGGTATAATTAAAGTTCAGTTATTATCATGATAACTTATCTCCAAATTAATGGGGTAATTTAAAAGAAATCGTATTACTAGAAACTGGAATAAAATTTAGAGTCGAATGTATTACAAAAGAATAAATACAATTAATGATTTATAAGTTTTATTAATTTGATAATTTGTAATAATTTTTTTTCTGTATAAAAAGCATAAATTTCATTCTATTTAAGATAAACTTAAGTTCATCGACTCTCAAGCTCGAATGATACTTATTAAAACAGCTCTTAAAGAATAACGTTTTATAATAAATTTAAATAATTTAAATAATTTAATGTTAAAACATTAATTCGTAAATTCTTTTACTTATGCATTCAAATCAATATTAAAATATAAACAAAAATTTAATTAATAATTATTAAATAGATATTATTTACGGGTCAAAAATTCATTGAAAAAGGCTACATATATGAATATCTTCATCCTTGGCTTAAAACTGGCCTACTGACAAGCACAGGTAAATAACATATTTAAATACATAAAAATTTAGTTTATGTTTATGCATGCATATACGTGTGTATGCAAGCTAATCGCGCATTGATTTTCATAGGTATGCGTTTCGCGAGTGCGATAGTGTGCGGATGTCTTATGTGCATTCATATTACTTAATATACGCATAATTATTATTTTTCAGGAAATAAATGGCGTCAAAGGCGAAAAATTTTATCACCTGCATTTCATTTCAGTATTTTAAAGAAATATTTGGAAATAATAAACGAAGAAGGCAAAAAGTTCATGAATATTCTCAAAAATGAAGGCGATGAAATAATAAAAAATCTTGTACCTTTTTCATCAAAATACACATTAAACATTGTTTGTGGTAAATGTAAATTTTTTTTTATGTAATATGAAAAAATACATATTTGATAAATATCTAATATCGTCTATAATATATATATATATATATATATATTTTTTTTTTATAGAATCAGCAATGGGTGTTGCATTAGATACAATAGATAGTACAATAGTCAATAAATATAGAGAAGCGGTTTACGATATGGGAAATATAGTACTTTACAGGTATATTTGAAGAATTTAGAACTAAATACAAATTCATGAAATTGTATTTTACATACTGTTCAAATATTTATGTATTAGTTAGTAAATACATTCCAAGTCTATTTGTCATTGACATTAAAAAACAATCAATTTTTTATATTT